TAGAATGTGTCATTTATTCCTGCCCATGGTAATTGTGAGTAAAATCCCCATATGCAATTGCGTGCAGATCAAGATCTTACTTCTCTGTACACCTGGTACTGTTTTACTGAAAATTGTTGCAAGCACTTTGTATGTATCAATTAATCTAAGCCCTAACTGGGGATAATGATAAAGCAATGCGGTAACACCTCTAATTCTTCATTTGTACTATTACAGATACAATGCGCTGATGCATGAACCTATTTTGAATTATTTTCCACAATGTTTCAAACTTGCTTAATTTCTTAAGTTTCTTAGTTTCCCTAGGTTTCAATTTTACCTTCCTCCTTTTGTAACATTCCAATAGACACATAACTTGTGGGTTTATTTATTGTTACCTATAATCTACCTCATCATCTTAAAAATTATTAAGACTGACAAACTCAGTCTCTTGACAGGTGTAAAAATCCTTCAGAAATCAGTATTTTGTTAGGTGGGACTAATCCTGCATTCTTCAAAGCATACAACGTAGGTTCACAAAGCCTCAGATCACAGGCTATTTATTCTACTCATTTTAGAGGATACCAGACAGCTTTTCAAAGCCTTCTAGCTTCAAAGGCTATGTCCTGGGATATTGTTGGCTGAAGTGGACTTAAAGCTGACTTAAAACAGGCTGTGCTTGAAGCATAGCAGCCTCCAGGCTGGCTTGTAAAAGCATGTAATTTTATATTCAATCTTATCTGGGTTCTGGAGTTAAAGCACAGATTTCCCTGACATTCTCCCGCTTGGCCAGGCTCAACTTTGTTGTTCTGCCAACACAGAAACGAGCTGAGATACAACTGGTGGGATGTGAACTCAGAGACCACTGCTTTGTTAAGCATTTCAGCTCATTAACAACTAGAAAATCAGAATTCCATGGCTTGGGCATTAAGGTAGGCCTAAAGAGAAATATATCCCTTGGAGAAGTGAAAAATTGTTACAGTACCTAGAGAGTCTCATAATTACTTAATCACCTCTAAATTTGGCCCTTGTCTTCTGTATGTAAACCGTGCTATAAAGTTGCATGTAGGACACATATAAGTGACTCTCTCAAGTTAAACCTTAACTTGCAAGACACTTGCTTCAGTTTTACTAATTTGCTTTGATGTATCTGAACAGACCTCAATTTCTACCTTCTGTTATTTTTACCCATTGTCAGCTAATGAAGTATATAATTTAGGTACACAGAGGCCCTGCCCATTTCTCATTCAAGTTACAGTAGTGTCAGTGTAGATTATTCAAGTGTAGTAACTCAAGATAACTTCACTATGGTGAAAAGAAGAAGAATTAAATGTGATAATTTTGGTACTCATGGGAAAATTGGAGGTTTTACTGGCAAGTACTGCTGCTCATTATGTGTGTTCCTATGTATCAAGTGAAATACCTAAAAATAAAAAGCAATTTACAAAATACGTGTTTGCCATTAATAGACTATAAATCTAAATGTTTGAAAGACATGGAAAAAATCTAGAGCCAGATATGCAAATGTAGACTCAGATTTTGTAATTCTTGAGTGCTTGCTAGCATAAACTGAAAATGAGGCAAAGAATACTATGCTCTCAGCTTTAGATTGTGAGCCAGAGCATTAAAAACTTGGACGCACAGAGGCTGCCACTTTGCCAATAACAAGGACTGCACTGGGATCCAAAACTAACAGCATAAACCTTCAGCTAGGGCTAGAGAGCAAACAGAAAGGACTGTTGACTGGGAGTAAACTCAGTCCTGATACAAATGGAGAAGATGTACAGATGTGCAGCCACGAACATATTATACAATCTGGGAACACATATGCTGCACTGGCTGGTGAAAACAAGGACACTACCCCTTAACCTCTATAGTTAAGTCTAGCATTTCGCACTAAGGAGTGTCATTTTTTTTGTGGATGAAACATGTAATACATGCTATCCAGGGAGTTACATGTAAGTTAGAGAGAGAAAAGTAGCCAGATGAAGACACTCTAAAAAATAATAGGACATATGGGATTCGGATGAAAACTGGTGAGCAGCAGGATGCCCATGTGAGTCACCAGGATCTGAAGGGTGCCTAGCAGTAGCAGGATCAAGCCCTCAATCTAAAATAGATATGCTTAAGAGAAAAATCATTATCGATGCTTGGAGAATTTTTAAGCCGAGTTTACTGTTGTTAACCAGGTGATAACAAGCTGTCCTAGTGCATGTTATTGGAAGCTGTCATTTTCAGCTGTCATTCTTGCTAACAGAATGCCACATAACATGATGCAAAATATTGCACGTATTTCACCCACTCAGATTACACCTGCTAGCGAGATAAGCCTACATAGTTAATTTTACTGTTCACACAGCGACCAAATGGAAATCAGAATTTTGTGCAGTTTCTAATATTTGTGGGTTTGGTTTTATTTGTTTACATTTTGTATAAAACTCATTCAGTCTGTCTATCATCAACAGATTTCTAAGTAAAAAGCAACTCACAAAACCCAATCACCTCTAGCTAAAATGGTTTCCTTAGACTCTTTGGACATTTTTATTACAATCTGGTATACCCCTAATATTTTCACAATTTGCAATTAAATCAAGATATTTTCCAACTTTTACTTAGCAATAGCTAAATCTACCTTAGCTTAATCCAGGGATAAAATTAAAACATAAAAATTGTCATTTCTCTTGTCCTCAGCAAGTAACATCAGTTTGACAATGGACAATTCGTTGGTCTACAGATAGAAAGAATCCAGATCTATAATTATATAAACGTCAGTTAAGACAGGTTCCAAAGCCACTTGAATATCTGACTTTGATTATATTTCACTAGATCAATAAATATTTGCTTGTCTAATTATCCCAGTATCATTTGTAATAAAATGAAAACTGACATTTATGTACCTGTAAATATCTTCTACATCGAGAACTCATTATAGAGAAACAAATAAAATAACTCGTGCAGTTTTGAATTTTTTGAGTTTTTAATTTTCTTATGCCTTGTATTTTGTCTGATCATGACAATATTCAGCATCCTGTTTTAGTGGTTTTATTTTTTGTGCTGTCAATGGAGACTCTACAAAGATGTCTTAAGACGCATCAGATCAATTAGCTCATTAATTCTACAGGGGAAAAATGTTTAATACTGAGCCACTCAGCTTAAATTGTTTCTATACCTTTTATAACAATCATATTCTAAATACAGTAACTCCACAAAGTTTTTACATTACTTTTCTTTGCAAAAATTGGTGACAGTTGGAGGAATTATGAAGTGCTGAAATGTGGGCATAGTTTTGCCTTGAAAGGTATTAAATGTGTTTGGTTTTTTTAGAGAATCATGGCAAACCTTCCCTTTTCTTTCAGGAGGGATAAAAATAACTGTCATCATCACAAACACAAATCATATAAAGCACATACTAGTTCTACATTCGCACAGTCTCTTTGAGAAAATTAGGAGGAGTTGGAGAGCAAAACCCAAAGAGCTGATAAACCTACACTATGAGAAACAATACATTAGCCTATGTGTAGCTATGCATTATTGTTAGACTCTTTAGTATTGAAGGTTTGCATGTTTATAGCCGATTTTATATCTCTGATAACAGACAGTGGAAGCAGAAATTCATATTTTGCCAAATTTTGTCCTTCAATCCTAGAAGAATGCCAGCTTACCATCTTAATTATCTTTAACAGCGACGTTATCTTAAAAACATCTCAAAATCTGTGATACTAGAATATAGAATATATCTGAGATTACACTCTGGTGTTATTTTTTAGCAACAGCATATTTCACCTTGATTTGCAACAAATGACCACACAAAATTAAGTGGTAATACTACATCCTTAATTGCATCCAATACTCCACAACAGATGTGCTATTAGTAAATAGTCCCACTTGGCCAGACAAACAAAGAAATTCTAAATGTGAGCTGCTGTGAGCAACATAACCTAGAGTATAGTTCCAGTAAGATACATCTTGAGATAGCTCATCCATTCTTAACAGTTTGCTAATAGTGATCCTTACTAGTAATCAGTTCTCTTCTTTCATAAATATTTTCCAATATTTGAACTGTTAGAATTATATTTGTTATAAGGTCCTAATTGCTGCAAAGACTTACTGCTGAGTACCAAGTAGTACAGAATATTCTCATTAATTTTCAGCACCTATGGTAGGTAGGTTCTGTCACAGACTTCTTGAATGACCTTGGACAAATCACTCACATCATATATTTAGGTGCTTAAAGACTGACAAAAAAATGTGATGTCCTTAGATGAGAATGGGGTTAGGCAGAGAAATGTCTACCTGTATATTTAGGTGACCCTAGTCCTTTAAAAATCTTGTGTTCTTTTTCCTCCCTTCTCATTTGTAAAATCAGGACTAAACATATCTTCAGTTTCCCAGTCTATGACCAGCTGTCTATGTTGTAAGATTGTGGAGGTTCCATATCTGATGCTAGAGTAGCATTTAAAGGTGGGGACTTACAGAGTTAGGTTTTTTTAAAACCTTTTCCTGCTTCTACGGAGACAATGTCAGGCTCACAGCTCTTGTGATTTGTTGTTTCTGAATGGTTAACAAATGATTTGCAGTCCCCATGGCAAGCAATGACAGTTGAGAGCTTGCTTTGTTCTAATTTATGTTAATATTGTGAAATATTTTGCAGGAATACTGCAAAAAGAGCTTTTAAGCTTAATCAGAAATGACATACTTAAAAACTGTAGGCTTGCACGAAAAAACGCTAGTCCAAAGGACATAAATGTAATATTACACTTATCCAAACGGAATAGGCAAAAAAAAACTCAAATGAGCAACGAATAAATTTGTTTCTAAAATGTCTTTTTAGCCTGAGGAGTCCAGTAAGATGCTGTGACTGGAAAAAGTATGCAGCTGAGCTCATCTGCTGCAAAACTCACCGAGATTTCCT